GCATTGGGAGTTAGGTACTAATTAATGGTTTTCACTTGCTGTAGTTAATACTAGTTTTAAACACAATTCTGCATATAACTCTGAAAAGAGAGGTAATCTGTGCTGTTTTAAAGACTTGTATGTTGGCAGATATGGTAAGAACTGCAGGGGAGACAATGGGTAGTACTTACAAACAAATTCTTTAAGAAAATAATTCTATTTTCAATAAATAGAAGGAATTTTAAAGTTTGTAATCAGTTCACCATACTGAATGAAATACATCACTGAAAATATTTCTTTTCTTGCTAGTTCTCCACTATTAGTTTAATTAAGAGAAGTATTGATGTTAAATTTACATTTATAAAATATATAATGGTGCATATCAACAGTACAAAAAGAATTGATGTACCTTTTTGTTACTGAAGATAGAGATATATTCCAAGCTGACCAAATCTTTGGTTCGTGGCTATTTAGAAATAGAATTTTTAGAAATTCAGTTAAAATGAGAACTAGAAAAATAGAACCTATTTTTTTTAAGATTTTGATACTAAAGAGGGTCAAAGAAGAATAAATAATAACACAGTGGAAAATAAAAATAAATGATTAATGCTTTAGATCATTTAAAGAACCCCAATTTCTACTGTGTAGTCTTCTCCTATCTACAGGAATACTCAACACATAATGAAAAGTGTGTTTGGAAAGTGTGTTTAGAAAGTTTTTGGAAAGTGTGTTCCATTTACACAAAGTGTACCCTGAATCTTTCTATTCACTAACTTAGTGCCATCACCCAAATTTTTTTTAAAGATTTATTTATTTATTTATTTATTTATGTATTTATTTATTTATTTATGATAGACATAGGGGGAGAGAGAGAGAGAGGCAGAGACACAGGAGGAGGGAGAAGCAGGCTCCATGCCGGTTGCCCAACGTGGGACTCGATCCCGGGACTCCAGGATCGTGCCCTGGGCGAAAGGCAGGCGCCAAACCACTGAGCCACCCAGGGATCCCCTCATAACCCAAATTTTGATACAGATTTTTAAATTTTACTTTTCATCACCAGTGAATATTTTTTTGAACTCTTAGAATGCATTTAATTTTACATGTTGACTCTTACAGTCTATGGGAATTTGTTTCCCTTAAAATGAATATAACTGCAAACAAAGAAGACAGGTATTTTTCTTGCCAAGACATTTTTCCTATACTGAGTGATTCTTTGACGGAGAAGCTTACTATGACACACCAAATGTGCATGGGGAAGAGTTTAAAAGTTGGTCAGGTGAGGCAAAGAATGAGGATGAGAAATTTAGTTATCAGGGGTTTAGTTTGGTCATTAGAAAAATGCCTCTTCCTCCCAGACTGGTTTATCCTGCTCAGTGAATATTGTTTTCTTCCAACATCTCTTTTTCCAATAGCCACTTAAAATAATAGAGAATTTTTTTAAAAATAAGAAATTTACAGTAAATGAAATCCTGTCATCACATGGGGTGGGGGAAGGTGTTGATATTTTCCTGCATGTAGGATATGCTTGTTGAATATGGCACCAAACATACTTCCTGCAGAGAACCACTCTTAGCAGCAATTAGGGCAAATGTCTTACTTAAATGGAAAATCTCATTACCATTCTTCTGCTACCTTAACAGAGGGAAAGCTTTTTCCAATGTTATTAATCACGCCAGAGGAAGGCTATAAACTTCCTTTTAAACTGTGGTCTATGGCCAGTTGCCATAGTCCTCCTAAGAAAAGTCAGTATTGGTCATATTGGCCGTTGCCCTATTTGAATTCATGCAACTTCAGAATAAAATCCAGCTTTCCAATTCCTTTCTCAAATTGCTTCTCAAGAAAGTATGAAACCAAAAAACAATGTAAAATACATCTTTGATTTGCCTGAAAAATGACAACTAGAGTATTGAATAAGTTCCTTTTATTTGCCGTTATATTAATATACAATGTTAATATTATACCAACCAGGATACCTAGTTAAAAAACAGCAGAATTTTTCTTAAAAACAAAGACCTTTTAAAAATCTCATTAGTGATTTTGTCAATTGTAACACTTATATTTGATAAGGGTCCAGTGAAATAGACATTCATATATACTGCTGGAGGTGACATAAACTGCTAGCACCTTTCAGAAAAGGCAATTTGACAATACAATATACATTGACAACCTTAAAACTTTTTTAGTTAAAAATCTGACCTTTTGATTAAAAAAATTTTGACTTTTAGAAATTTAGTGTAGTGAAATATATAATAGACATTTATTTTTTAATAGTTTTTTTTTAAGATTTTATTTATTCATGAGACACAGGCAGAGGGAGAAGCAGGCTCCCTGTGGGGAGCCTGATGTGGGACTCAATCCCAGAACCCCAGAATCCCCAGCTGAGCCAACCAGGCGTCCCATATAGACAAACGTTTGTATACAAGGGTGTTCATCACAGCATTATTTGGAACACAGAAAAACTGGAAACATCATAAATATACTATATTGGGAATTAGTTACTAAAGTGACAGGCTATTCATATAACAGATTACCTTATATCCATCAAAAATATCCCATTTGAAATAAAGATATACAAGCAAAGGGGAAAAAAAAGTTGTTATCTCCCAGTGATTGGTTTCCAGCTGACTTCTCCTCCCCGCCCCCCCCCCCCCAGCTTCACTGATAAATAACTGACAAATAACATTGTGAAAGTATAAGGTGCAGGACATCTTGACTTGATACTTTTATAAAATGCAAAATGATTACCACTATCAGATTAGCTACCACTCCATCCCACCACAAATGTTATCATTTATTTCTTCTTTGTGATGAGAATACTTAAGATCTTCTCTCAGCAGGGATCCCTGGGTGGCGCAGCGGTTTGGCGCCTGCCTTTGGCCCAGGGCGCGATCCTGGAGACCCGGGATCGAATCCCACGTCGGGCTCCCGGTGCATGGAGCCTGCTTCTCTCCCCCCACCCGTGACTACCATAAATAAAATAAGATCTTCTCTCAGCAATTTTTACTCCCTTCCGTATTTCCCCAATTTCCTTCGGGATACGCGTTTAACTTTTTAAAAATGAACCTTAAAATTCATTTGCTAGTAGTAGCAGGGAGTTTCTTTTTTTAGTACAGTACAAATGAAATTGAATGCCCTCTTTTACAGTGGTTGTGACTTCCAAATATTTGCAACTCTTTTCACCTCCCATATATAGTAAAACATGGAAAGAGCCAAAACAAATGTGTCATTTAAAGCTTCTCTTTCTTTCCAAATGAAAAAAACAAAACAAAAAAAACAAATAAGACTACCCTAGCCTCAACTTATTAGGCCTATGTGTGTCATTTCATTATAACTAGTTCTTTTGGGGTTTATCTGTATTTGACCTGCCTCTTCACAGTGCGGGTAGGATTGCATCTTGCATCCTTATATTCCATGCACCTTCTCCCTTCATTTCCCCTGTCCTGTTCTTCCTGGATTGGAGAGTGTGCACAATGCTCTGCTCTTCAGGGTCTTCAGTATTCAGAAGGTGGCATATAAACGTCACACAACGCAAGCTTTATTTACATTCGTAAGGTCATAGGTCAAAAAGTTTTTGCAAAGATTTACAAACAGCATCACGCGGTTCGAGGGTACTCTGCAACCCTACCCGACCCTCCAGGAGCTCTCGGCCTCGGGCAGCCGCCTCGGTACCAACCGCAGGAACTAATTCGGCCCGCGCACGCATCTCCGGGGAGCAAGGGCGGAATCAGCAGCCACACTCCCCAGCAATTTCCAAAGAGGAGGGCGAGGAGGGGCCGCAGGTGTGAGCTGCCAAGCCCATGCAGGCGACCCTCCACATGGACGGACCCACCAAATTAAAGGAGAACACTCTCAAGCCGAGGTTAAAAGCACTCGGTCCTGATGCAAATTCACTCGGGGCACGCTCCAAGGGCCACCGCGACGGTTCTCGAGGGCATGCGTTGTGGGCTCTCCGTCTCTCCTAGCCCCTCCGCCGTCACCTCCTTCCGTGGCCCTCGGCTTTCCCCACTTCCTGGGTCCTCTGCGCAGCTCTGGCGCTGCAGGCGCTGCAGGCACTGCCGGCCCGTGCAGCCCGTGCAGCCCGAGCAGCCTGAGCAGCCGTGCATCCCGTGCACCCTGTGCATCCCGTGCAGTCCGTGCAGCCCGTGCACGAAGTCCACGCTCCGCAGGCCGACCTCTCCTGGGCGCCCACGAGAGCATCTCCGCTCGGGTCCCTCGGAGCGTAAAACTCCCGCCGGTGCTGTCGACTCAGCTCCAAAGCGCTTCCCCGCGCTGCGCAGCCGCAGAGAACCTCTACGTGACAAAGTTCGGCGGGGCTCCGGGCGCAGGCTCCGGGCCGCTCCGCGCTAGAACGCTGATGTCTCTGCGGACCGCACGGCCGGGAGACGCCAGGCGGGCGGGTGGGCAGGAGCCGCGAGCCCCGACTGAGCAAACTCCGCGGCGCAAGCGCGGGGGGCTCTCGGCGCCTGCGCACCGAGCGGGGAGCGGGGCGCGGGGAGCGGGGCGCGGGGAGCGGGGCGGGGAGCAGACGGACGGGAGCGTCGGGGCCCCGCGCTCCCCCCGCCGCGCTCCCCGGGCCCGCAAGCCCCGCCCCCTCCAGCTGCTCGCCGGCCCAAACACCCGGGTGCACCGCCGGCGCTCCCCGACCATTGGCCCCCAGCCCTTTCCGTTTCCGCCCAGCCCTCCACCGTCCGCCAATCGGCTCGGGCGCCTGGGCGAGGGGCCGCCTCCGAGGCCGACGCTTCGGCTCCCGCCGCCTCCCCCGGCTGCTGCCTCCGCTGCTGCTGCCTCCTCCTTCCCCACCTCCTCCGTCAGGCAGGCGTCTGCGGGGGCCCGAGGGACGGCGGCGGCGGCGGCGGCGGCGGCGGCGGCGGCGGCGGCGACATGGAGCCGGAGGCCGGCGGCCGAGGCGGTGCTCGCAGGCCTGGGGCTGGGCCCCCGAGCACCCCGCCGCCTCGGGAGCAGGAGCGGAAGCTGGAGCAGGAGAAGCTCTCCGGGGTGGTGAAGAGCGTCCACCGGCGGCTCCGCAAGAAGTACCGGGAAGGTAAACAGCGAGCTCGAGCGAGGGGGGAGGGGAGGCGTCGTCGCCCCCAGCCCCCTGTCACCTCTCCCCTCCCCCAAGGGGCCACCATTACAACCTGAAGGAGCTGCACGTCAGCCCCTGCCCGTGCCGCTCTCCCGGGCCCGGACGCCCCCTCCTCGGTCCGGCCCTCGGTCGGCGTCGGGCGCGCTCCGCCCGCCCCCTGGTCGCGGAGGGCCCTGGCGGAGAGTTCCGGGGCCGCCGCGGGACGGAGTCCCCGCCCCTCCCGGCCAGTCCCCTGGGCCCCGTCGGGGGGCCGGGCGTGTTGTCACCACACGCACCCGCACCCGCACCCGCACCCTCACTCACACACCCACGCACACGCGCGCGCGCGCGCACACGCGCCCGCCCCGCCGAGGCGAAGGTAAACGGCGGAGGCAGGTAGAACGCGTAGGGGAGCGCCAGCCGCGGAGGAAGCCGGAGTTGCCGCTCGCCGCCTCGCGCCGACCAGCCTGCGTGACGTGCCGCCCCCGACTGACCCCTCGGAGGCCGGGGCTGCGGAGTCGGCGGGCCGCCGCGCCGACCGGACTTCACCTTGCTAACGGGGGAGGGGCGCCCCCGCCCCCAGCCTGACCTCCGCGCGCGTCTCGCCGGGGAAGAGCTGTGGGGCAGGTTCTCGAGCTCCCCCGATAGCTCTGCGTGGTCAGCTCCTCCCGAGGACGCCGACGCCGACGCCGACGCCGTCGCCGGGAACCGTATCCTATGGAAGATCTTAAGTAGCCTCTGCTGCTGCCGCCCCGGGAGCGTTGCTAGTTGGATCTGCGGTTATCCGTGGTGGTTTTAAATACCAGGCTTCTTGACGGAGCTGTTGTCGAAGACTGCACTGACCACGTGAAAATGACCAGTTTTTTGTTTTGCTTTTGGTTTTTTTTGTTTTTTTTTTTTTTGTTTTTTTTCCCCCACACGCTCGGGAGAGATTTCCTCCGTGCATCAAAACGGGGAGGGGGGGGCGGCGGGCGGCGGGCGGCGGGGGAGGTCACCTCCCGCTTGCGCTCACTTTGACTTAATCGCACACTGAAAAGACGGCAGCCTTCTAGTGTTAGCTTTATACCTCGTTAAATTCGGGGTTAGAAGCAAAATTGTGACAGCGCCGTGCGACTGCATGTTACTTTCGCTTTACACGACACTTTTTCAGTTATCCCAGAAGATTAAAAAGAAGCGTCTTTTGTTCCCGTGAATGCGGCTGGTGTGTTTCATTTTTTCGAACTTGAATTCAAAGTTTCCCTCCCTTGGCGACTCCAGCTTAGCTTTCGGATCGGATCTACGTAGCTGCTTAAAGAGTCCTCCTCAAAGATGGCCTGTCGTTATTGTTTAGTAGGTAACAATAGAAAGAGACTTGTGAGGCGTAGGTACGATGTTAGAATTTGTTTTTTTTTTTTTTTAAAAAAAGAATGCTCTAACCCCCCCCCCACACACACCATTTATTCAATAAAATGAGTAGTTGTCATGGCAACCATTGCATCATTCCTGATATTCAGAGAATAGGCTTACATAATGGCATTCACTGTAGATTGGAGGAATCCACTGGAGAAATGGAGAAATAAATGGACACAATTTCCTTAAGTTTATCAGTCGTTTTGTACGACTCTAAAAGCAAGTATGTCTTTTTAAAGAAAAACTGACTAGCCCATATTTTCCATTTTTACCTTCTTATAACAATATCATTATTGATTCAGAAATGAATAAGTTGCACCTAAACCAACCGCTAATAATGTGTCATCATGTCTTCGAATGCTGTTTATACTTGGTTAGTTCCCACATGTTGAAACAGGTCTTTAAACTTGAATGTCAACCAAGGCAACTTTTGTTTATGATGAGAATCGGTAGTTGGAAGTTACCAGAGCTAGAATAGACCTATGTGGTTCATAAATGATCCAGTGTGCTTCTGGGAAGGTGAAGTCCCGGCAGTCTGTAACCATTTGAGTGAGACTGTTCTTTAGGCATTTTAATGCCCTGAATTCCATCAGTGATCTAGATTTCTCTAGGCTTTATTCCACTGATACACAAAGCCCCATCAGTGAACTAGCAAAGTAAGAGATCCAAAGAGTATGCCCTTCCTACTTTTATTTCTGACATGTATGTGAAATCTTAGGTGTGACTGGGTACAAATCTGTGAAAAGGCCATCTGTAGAAAAGTCTGACTATGCACATAATCCCAAGGAAATAATTTTTCCTCAAAGGAAAAAGTGTTTTCCTTTGAAGTTTTAGTATTGTTATAATACTGGTGGTCCACAATCTACAAACATATAATTTATAAGTTCATTTGCAAGTCACCTGTGGTTATAAAATAATAATATACATGGTGCTTAGGTGCTAGATCAGGTTACAGAAGCCTGTTTGGTCACTAATGGTAATACCAACAATGGTGGAAACTACACACCTTTTGTAACAATATTCCTATCAGAAAATGCGGTGAGAATTCCAGTTTAGAATCTTGGAATGTTAGATTAGAAGGAACTGTATAGCATTTATCACTCACCTGGGGGTGCCATTTAAAAAATTCCTGTCTTCCACCTCGGATGCAAGTTTCAGAATCCTTTTCACTGGGGCCTGGAAATTTATCAGCCAGTTTTGGAATGGTGATTTTTTTTCTTTTTAAGATTAATTTATTTATTCGGGGAGAGAGAGGCAGAGACACAGGCAGAGGGAGAAGCAGGCTCCATGCAGGCAGCCTGAGGTAGGACTCGATCCTGGGTCTCGGGGATCACACCCCCGGCTGCAGCCGGCGCTAAACCTAAACCGCTGCGCCAGCGGGGCTGCCCTGCAATGGTGATTTAAACTAGTTCCTTCCTTTTACACATCAGTGTGTCAAATCTCAAAAATATTAAAACAAGTTGCTTGAAACTTGGATAGTTCATCATTAGCAGTGTTCATATTTTATGGGAATAATAGTTTTTTCTTCCCCAGTTGCACACCTAATGGTGACTCCACATGTTGGTAGAATAGGAGGGAAAATGGGAGGCAGGAAGTAGCTCTAGAATGTGTGTTAGGTAAAAAGATGTAAATTGGTAAGACTGGAGGAATCCCTTGGAGAGGTAGGATTAGCTGAGTAGAGACTACATGAGGTATGGGGTTTTTTTGGGAGAGATGGCAGGAAAAGAAGGAACTTGAGGTAGAATGAAGAAGGAGGTAAAACATTCACCGTTTCGTAAGGACAGGACTGAGCACTGGATAACCAGTATGGGGTAGATAATGTAGTTCTCCCTTCCTTATATCTGTACTGGAATTGGAAATGAAGCAGGAATAACAATGAAAGTGAGATTTTCCTACTGTGGTAGAAAAAGATTTCTTTCCATTCTTCCCAATTCATTTGTCCCAACTAAGCTTGTTGACAGGGATTAGCAGGCTTGGGTTTGGGGGGGCGGAAGGGTGGTAGATCGAATGATAAAGACTGCAGGTGGATTTAGTGCACTCTTTTATTACTTTTTTCCCCTCTCTACTCCCATTTACTGCCTGTCCTCTGTCACCACTTAGACAATTTGTGTAAAGTGAGAATTGGAGATATGATGGTCAGTGTTCTAAGCTGTGCTGATATCTTAAATAGTTATCAAGAGGAAATGGTAGGGAAATGTCTGGCAGTGGTTGAGAAGAGGTGTTTGTGGTGTCAGCATTTGTAGCTAAGGAACTGTCTTTTAGATTGAGTTTATATAAATGGAAACAAGCTTGCAGATATAGGTGTCTTTTGTCTTTGCTATACAGAATTTTAAAAATAACCCCTCCATGTAAACCAGAAATATTTTAAATGTATCATGGGTTGTAGACAGCTTTTTAATGAGAAGCAGCTAGTTTTGTGTTCCAAACAGGGACTTCATTGTTTAGTCATATCTGCCTGATGAGTACATATCTAATTGAGAACTGAAGTAGAGCCATGTGTATTTTCAGTTGTCTTTGTTTTTTTCCCATAACCCTAGTCACAAAATCCTGTTCCTATAGTGATTATTATTATGCTTGGCATCTCTTTTTCCAAACATATTCATGTAAAAATACCGAGAAAATGTAAAGGCTGCATTTGTTAGAAATAAAAGTGTGATTTCTTTCCATTTAGTTTTGATTTTTTTAACCCATCTGCAAATGTCTTTAGCAAATTTTATTAGTTTATTCACTCTGAATTTACTTATTCTATATGCCAAAACAAGTTAAAACAGTTTGTCATGCAAACCCATGCAACTTATAAGTGAATCAGAAAAAATTAAAAATACATAATAACCTGTTAACATTGATAGTCTCAAGGTTATGGTATTATGGGTGATTTTTATTATAGTTTCCTATATTAAAATCAATGTTAGTTGTAGCAATGATGATATTATAAAAGTAGTTAAGACACGTTACTGATACTGAAGCAGGAAAGAACACAGGATTGGTTGGTTCTGTAGACTAAGTCCAGAAAAAATTGTGTTTCGAAGATAAATAGTTGTGAGCAGCATAATAAAAGGCAACAACTGAGTAGTCTAGTTGAGATGTTTAATTCTTATTGATTACTCAAATTCTTTATAGTTTGAGACTAAGGGTGAGCTAGAATAACAGTTTAGGATAGGCTGAAAAATACATTTGTGATTGTTCTTTAACACCTCAAACAAGAGAATTGGCAGGGAGGGAAAAACTCTTGAATTAGAAATAATTTTAAACTAACAACAAAAGGTCTAAAAATGGAAGAATGAATATAATGTTCGTGTTTTTCCTGAAACAAAGTTTTGAAATTGTTTTTAAAACTAGGATAACAGACTTTTTCATGGAGATTTCCTATTTTTCTCCTTCTGTGTTAAGTCACGCTCATTCTGATACAGAATCAGAAAGTGTTTCTTTGTGATAGAATCTTTGTTCAGTCAGCAAAATAAGTAAGGTGAAGAAGACTGTTCACAGAAGGGCTTGTTAACTTTGCACAAGGAGAGTTGAAATTACCTACTTGAGTAGGTAGAAAAAATGAAGAGTTTAATAATTAGTAACACAAAAAGAGAATATTGACTACTAAGCAGTCATTTCAGTGAGAGGTATGTAGTATGTTTGATTTTTTTTATTTTTAGCTATCTTTGTAGTAAGGTATCTTTTTAGGGTTTTGTTTTGTTTTTACATTTCAAAAGGTACACTAAAAATTAAGTAGTTCCTTTTGATTGTTTTGTGGGGGAAAAAAACAATAACAAATGCAGTGAATCTTAGCCTTGATTCCACATTAGTATCATCTATGGAACTTCTTACCTCAAATAATACAGATGTCTATATAGGTTTATAATGGGCAGAGGAGTTAAAGAACTCTGAGCTAAATAAAGTACTATAGGTTAGAGTAGGAAGGAACCAGGAAGAAAGGAGATCCAACTAGAAGACTCTTCTACTCATCTGATGTAGAGGTAATAATAGCATAAATAACAACCGTGATCATGAAAATAGAGAAAGATGTATCAAAGTTTTGAAGGTGAGAGTGTGTTGTTTCAGTGAGTAAAGGGGAAGAGTCAGAGATGGTGTCAAGGTTTTCTGTCTGGGAAAAAATAAAAGTGCCCATTTTTTATCCATTTTGGAAATGTGTGTATGTTGGGATGGGGACAAGGAGAACAGAGTAAAACAGGTTGGATTGTCTTAGGGATAGTGTAATGGTTTCGTTTGGAATACATCCTTTGGAAGTGTTGGATTGGAAGCCCTGTCTGTGGAAGTTGAAGTTCGAGGATGAATGAATGCCCAATGAAGGAATGAGTTATACATTATAACTGAGTACAGATCCTTGGAAGACACCAGTTGTGTCCAATTTTGCATAAGTGCTCCTCTTTCTACCTTATGCTCCTACACAGTTGTGCTAGCCTTTATTGTATTTGTCACTAACCAGTTCATTTACCAGTCTTTCCCACTAAATATAGTTCTTTGAGTGGGACACACTGCTTTTTGTTTTTGTATCCCAAGTATGTAGGACCATGCCGTGTAAATAAAGACACACATGAAAAGAAAGAAGCTAACACAGATACTTCCAGATAGTTGAGTTTAATCTTTTTATATTCATTCATATTCTTAAACTGTAAATTTTGGATACAATTTTTTGTAAAACATTTATGGTCACCTCTTCTTAAATTTAGTAGATTAATTTTAGTCTTTTAAAAGTTATTCAAATTATTAATATAAACATCATACTGTTTTTCTATAAGTAAAACTGTAAATAGTGGAGAATATAGATATTGTAAAATGCCTTGTCCTTAACATTTAATACATGTTTGTTGGATTAACTTGCCTTATTTTACTGTATACCGTGAATTCATTTCTTTCTTTCTTATCTGCTACTCTTTCCCTACCATTTGTTCCTATATACCAGTGTTAGACAATGATTAAAAAATAAT